TCTGATTTTGTTGATTTGCATTTGCTCTTTCTTTCTTTTGGTTAACTGGGCTAAGGGTCTGCTTATATTGTTTAGCGTTTCAAATTACCAGCTCTTAGCTTCAGTGATTCCTTTTTAAAAACATTTTATTTATTATTTTTATTTTATGTGTATGCATGTGTTGCCTGCATATAGGTAAGTGCACCCATGTTGTGCAATGCCTGCGGATGACAGAAGAAGCTGTTGAATCCCCTGGAACTGGAGTTACGGACAGTTGTTAGCTGCCATGTGGGTGCTGGGATTCAAACCCAGGGCTTCTGGAAAAACATGCAGTGTTCTTAACCACTGAGCCATCTCTCCAGCCCATTATTGATTCTTTGTACTGTTTTCTTTGTTTCTATTTCATTAATTTATGCTCTGATTTTTGTTATTTCTTCTCTTCTGTGGGGTTTGGGTTCATTTGTTCTTGCCTTTCTAGTGTCTTGAGTTGCAGTGTTAGATCATTTATTTGGGCTCTTTTTATTTTTTAATGTAGACACTTAAAGCTATAAACTTCCTTCTTAGGACTGCTTTTAACATGTCACAGAGGTTGTGTTGAATTGTAGTTTCCTTTCCGTTGAATTCCAGGAATTCTTTTATTTCTTTCTTAATTTCTCTATTGACCAACTCATTGTTTATGAGTGTGTCCTTCAATTGCCAAGAATTTGTGTAGTGACTAGGGCTTCGTCCAGTGTTGATTTTAAGCTTTATTGCATTGTGGTCCAATAAAATGCATGAAATTATTTCAATTTTTTTTGTATTTGTTGAGGTTTGTTTTGTGGTCCAATATGTGGTCAATTTTTGAGAAAGTCCCATTGGGTGCTAAGTAGAAAGTGTATTCTTTGGTGCTTGGGTGGAATATTTAAAAGACATGTGTTAGGTCCATTTGATGTATGGTATCATTTACTTCGGACATCTTTCTGTTTATTCTTTGTCCATTTGACCTGTCTAATGGAGACAGTGGGGGATTGAAGTCCCTTACTGAGTTGGGGTTAATCTGTCTCTTAAAGTCCTGTAGTGTTGTTTTTATGAATTTGGGTGTACCAGAGTTTGGTACATATATATGTTAAGGATTGTAATATCTTCTTGGTTAACTATTCTTTTGATCTGAATGAAATTACCCTCCTTATCTCTTCTGATTAGTTTTACTTTGAAGTCTATTTTGTCAGATATTAGAATTGCAACCCCTGCTTGTTTCTTAGTGCCATTTGCTTGGAATATTTTTTTCCATCCTTTTACAATAAGGTAGTGCCTATCTTTGAAGTTGAAATGGGTTTCTTACAGACAGCAAAGAGATGGATTTTGTTTCTTAATCCATTCACTTAGCCTGTGTCTTTTGACTGGGGAGTTCAGTCCATTGATATTTCAGTTTATTATTAAAAGATGTGTATCAATTCCCATGATTTTGATTGTTGCTTGTGTTATCTGTCTAATTTTGTGTTTTCTCTACTGTACATTTATTTATTTTCTTTCATTGCCCTTAAGGTATGGTTATTTCTCTCTCTGCTTTCTGTATT